AAGGAGAAGGAGAAGGAGAAGGAGAAGGAGAAGGAGAAGGAGAAGGGGAAGAAGAAGAAGAAGAAGAAGAAGAAGAAGAAGAAGAAGAAGAAGAAAGAAGAAGAAAGAAGAAGAAAGAAGAAAGAAGAAGAAGAAGAAGAAGAAGAAGAAGAAGAAGAAGAAGAAGAAGAAGAAGAAGAAGAAGAAGAAGAAGAAGAAGAAGAAAGAAGCTAAAGCACAAGGGAGAATATATTTAGGTCAGAGATGGGGTGAGAGCCAGGGCCTCCTCTTGGTGTCCTTCCCAGGCTGTGCCCAGCAGCTGTGGGTAGGGTCTCCCACACTCAGCCTCACTGTCTCCCAGGCTGTCCTGCTGCTCTGGGACCCCTCTTATCCCCAACACTGGGGTCACTGTCCTGCTCTCACCTGAGACAGCCATGTCTGGGCATTCAGGATATTCAGGAGGCTGTGGGGTTGGTCCACCAGAAGGTCCAGGCAGGACTCCCACGGAGGCTGTGGGATGGGCGCCCAGGGCAGCAGCTCCCGCCGACACTCCTCCTGGAACAGCCCACATCCAGCCTTTGTTTTCCCTTTCCCTTTACTACTGGGAACTGAATCACTGAGCTCCATCCCTAGGTCCCCCCCACCCTTGTACTTTGAAACAGAGTCTCACTAAATTGCCCAGGTTTGTTTTGAACTCACAATCCTACTGCCTCAACCTCCCAGAGTGCTGGGACTCCAGGCCCGAGCCACCGCACTGGCTGCATTTACAGTTTGTGTTCTCCAGAGCCTCACTGGGCTGCAGCAGGGGTGAGCTTCCACTTTATAGATGAGTAAACCAAGGCCCAGAAAGACTGAGCCGCCCCAAGGAAATGGGGCTTGGGGCCAAGCGCTTTTTTCAAAAAAATCTTTTATTTACTTATTTGGAACAGGGTCTCACTACACAGCTCAGACTTATAGTGATCCTCCTGTCTCAGCTTCCCTAGTGCTGGGATTACAGGAGTGCGCCACCATGCCTGGTTTCAGTGGCCAGCATGGCACACCTGGGGTTTCAGGGCTGGCACAGCCTGCAGTACCAGGTATTAAACCCAGGTTCTTGTGCTTGCCAGGCAAGTGCTTAGACCACTGAGCTATCTCCCCAGCCCAGGGCCAAGCTCTTAATGCACCTCTCTCTTCACCGAGGTGGCCTCTGCTGGGCAATCCGCAGGGCCTGCCAGGGCCGAAGCCAGCTCCCTACCTCCTCCTGGGCCCGCAGCGTCTGGCTGGAGAAGAGCTGCAGGCGCTCGCTGGCCAGGTTGTTGCACAGTTGCTCCAGACTGTTCACCCGCAGCGCCTGGGGCAGTGGGCAGTGAGGTGGGCACACGCAGGAGGTGGGCACAGGGCAGGTGAGGCTGATGCAGGGCCCAAGCCTTCCATCGTCCTCTCAGGGGCTGCCCCACCCTTCTCTCCAGGGCTCAAAGAAGAGGGGTGACTCGAGCTAATGCTGCAGCCTACAGGATCAAGTCCAAAGGTCCCCGCACAGAGCAGGGGCCACTGCATGTCTGGTTTCTGTCTGGCTGTGCACAGCCCTGTTCCCTGCTCCAGCAGCACTGTGAGCCTTCAAGGCTCTGGCCTCAGCCACCCTGGGGTCTGGAATGTGTCTTTGCTGGCTGATTACGAGACTCCCACATCCTCCTGGCTGTGGCCTTCAGGAAACCTTCCCAGCTTCTTCCCAGGGGACTGTGTGTCTTCCTCTGCAGCCTCAGGACTGTACACTAAGTGCCCCCTGCATGAGGCTGCACATCCCAAACACACACACAAGTGCACGCTCAGCACAATCACTCCCTCTCAGGAAGGGATGGTCACCAAGGACATATACCAGGGACCACGGTCACCAAGCACACAGATGAGGGCAGTGAATAATCCCCATTCACAATCTAAGGTGGCCACCTCCTCTCCCTTCACCAGCCTCCCTTGGTCTGAAGAGGGGAATCTTCTGGCAAGGGGTGCAGAGGTTGTAGGAACTCAGGGAGGGCTGGGGGACTCTCCTTTTGCCCTCCCCCTTGGCTCATGGGAGGTGAGGCTGTGTGGGACCATCCTGGGGGCCTCCAGGGGACTCTGCAAAGCCAAGCAGGACAGAACTCTCCAGAGCAGATGTTGGAGTGGGACGGGGCAGAAAGGCTGCACCTAAGGAGTGAACAGCTCTCAGCGACCCTCCTGGTATGATCTCTATGTCATCTATGGGAACGCTGCCCTCAGCCAGGTTAGTGCACTTGCTCAGTCACAGAGCTACTGAGCAGCAGGATGCAAATCTTTCAGAGCCTTGAGACTTCCAGAGCCCCAGCTCTTAGCAGAAGGACTCCCTGAGGGGAGCCAGGAGGGACCAGAGAAGCAAGCAGAGGCCCTGCTTGGAAATGCACATGGGCCCGCAGGAGGGACATCCTCCTCTGTCACATGCTTTGGAGGTGGCTGAAGTCAGAGCCCCAGGGTTACCTGCCAGCATCACCTGAGCCCCAGAGGCAGGGCTGGCTCCCTTGCCTCTCCTTTCCTTGGGCTCTCTGCTGCCCAATAGTCATCCAGGACAAGCCAGAGAAAGGACACGGTCTGGCAGGCAGGCTGCTCAGGAGGAGCTGGTGACCCCCAGAAACAACACAATGAAGTGGGCTCCCCCATCCTGGGTCTCATCCCGAAGGCTGACCTCAAAGCCATAGGTGTCCACGACAGTGATGGTGCCCTTGTTGCCTCCCTCCCCAGGGGGTGCCAGCCGGGCATTGATCCTCCTTAGGAGCCAGGTGAAGAGCCGAGAGTACAGGGCCTTGGCCAGAGCATCCCTGCAGGCACTGGGTGTCAGCCACACAGGGCAGTGCACAGGCCTGGCCCCACTCTCCCATCCCCGGGGCCACCTGGCATCAATGGCGCTTTCCACGGGCAGGGATCTCGAGACCCGGCCATAGGGTGTCTCCTGGAGGCCAGAGGAGGTGCCTGTCAGATCCATGAAGGTGCACACCCGGCTCACAGGTGCTAGAATTGTCCCCCACCTACCCAGGACGCTTGGGCTCACCATGACCCTCCGGGTGACAGCCCCCTCCAGGTGCTCTGGTGGCACCCGAAGCAGCCAAGCTGCTCTATGGATCTCAGCCCAGCTGGACGCTGCTGCCACCTCCTGGGACTCCCTCTGCATGGAACAAGGGACAGGGAGGGCTCTGCTTATGGACTGGATGTATTTCCCAAGGCAGGGACAGGCCAGGTGCCCTGTGACCCAAAGGGACAATAGTACATGGGAGATCTGGGCCATTGTGAGCCAGCCTCTGGGTCTAAGGGCCTTGGGTGAGAGGCCTGACCTTTTTTCCTTACTGGTCAGGCAGATTCGTGAGTCTATTTTCCTTCCTGAGTCTGCCGCTTTATTGCTAATGGGGAAACAGTAACATGAAGAACTAAAGTGGAAAACACATATAATAGCTGCTCGGTTTTCTTAGGGGCAACTGAGTGGAGAAGAGACATTGGGAAGAAATAGAAGCAGTGGCCAGAGAGATGGCTCAGTAGAATAAGTGCCTCCTTGGCAAGCGCAAGAGCCTGAGTTCAAACCCTGGTTCTGCCAAAACAAACAAAGAAGAAGTAGAAGCAGCAGGACTCTCTTCCCATCTCTATGATGGGGATGGGGATTTGCCCAGAGCTTTGTAGTCTCCTGTACACATTTGTCGCTACCCTGATCATACAACCAATCACTGGCCCTGCCCGTAGGGAAAGCCTACCTCTGAAGAAGAGAAGCAGATGTTGCCCAGCTGCAGGACAGCGGCCAGCAAGGCCCAGACTGCGGTCAACTCTTCAGGGGATAAGCCCAAGACCTGCAGAGCCCTCAGTAGCCCTGCAAAATCCTGGGCATCCTCCTTGCCCCGAAGCCTGCAGGCATGGCCCTGAAGGGCACAGTGGGGCTCAGGGGCAGCGCCTGGCGCTCCTGAAGCCCCTTCCTTTGGCTCCTCTGAGACCTTCCCTGCGGAGGCCTTGTCTGGCCAGCCTCCTCCTGCACATGAGGGTGTGTCCCACCTGGTTGAGGTAGTAGTAGGTCTCTGGTCCCTGAAGTGAGAGCTTCTCCCTCTCCATGGGGTCCAACCCTGCCAGCAGCTCATAAAATACATGGAAGCTCCGCTCAGCCTGGGCCTTGGGGAGCAAGGCTGGATTAGGGGAGCAGTGCCTGCAGCCCTGGCCCCCTTTTTTCCCACTCTGGGTCCTGTGATGGGTTGGACAGGAGGGTGGGCCTTACCTGAAACACCACTCTGAAAGTCTCGAGCAGATAATGTGACACAGAGGCTCCTGTGATGACTCCACTGTGGACACAGGAGACAGATTTGGGTCCCCAGGGTACACAGCAAGGGGTCTCTCCCAGGCAAGATAATGCATTCCCAGTACCACTCTGCCCACTGGGATGCCATCACTCACTGCTGCAGATAGAGGCACCAGACCTGGCCAAAACGGCTGGCGCTGGCATTGAGGATGGTCTTGGCGTGGCCAAAGCTACTGAGCACTGGCAGCAGGTCATTCAACTGTGTGGGGGGAGGGTCACTCAGGTATCCCTAGGACACTGGTACCCACCATCCACTGAGGGTTCTCTGTGCCTGCCCCTCCCCCCATCAGGCCCATTAGAAGAGCCCTACCCACACCCCCAGAACAGGCCAGGCCTGTGATTAATGTCCCAAGAGAAGCCAGAGGCTTTAATCCACCAACCTCCTGGCCTAAAAGAGAAGCATGGCCAAACTCTGGAAAATGGCCAGCCGCCCGCTGGGCGATAGCCTCCATCGCAGCCTCACCTGGCACCTTCTTTCCTCTCTCTGCCCCTGTCCCATGCTGCTGAGAAACTGTAAGATCTTCTTGGTGGCTTCCGTTTTCCCTGAGCCGCTGCGCCCCCTGCAGGAGGGAAGAGCTAGGGCTGGGTGAAGGCCACTGAGAAGGGCTGCAGGAAGGGCACAGGGGATATCTCACTGAGCCTGGACACTAGGTGGCATGTGCCACCTAGAAGAGATACCTATGCTAGGGGTATCCCCAGAGATGTGCAAAGAGAGACCTGAGGTATGGAAACCAACAGAAATGCCACTCAAGGGCAATGTGTGACAACTTCAGAAGCATAGCCCTGCTGAAGTGTAGAGGTGCCACCCACGGTGCCTGGCCTGCAGGCTCGAAGTGTGTGGGCTCAGCCAGGCAGGATGGCAGGACTCACCCAAGGAGGATGCAGGGGTCCTGGCCTGGGCTTTGAGACAGGCTGTGGGCTGCTGCCACAATGGCAAAGATATGTCTGGAAGAGGAGAGGGATGGGTATCTGGGGACTGTCCCAGGTATAGGCTGATTGCCCACAGGCCTGAGACTCAGTCACTGGACCTGCAGGAGTCTGGACTCCTGAGAGTGAGCACAGGGTCACAAAGACAAAGTCACCTACGGGGTGGTGTTGGGGACCTTTCCCGGGTGGTAGCTGGCTGAGACTTCAGGTGAGAAGAGAGGCAGGGTCTTGTAGGGATTCAGAGTGAGCAGAAGGGGCCCCCCAAATGTCTGGAGAAGAAAGCAGAAGCTCTCAGTACATGGAGGAGCAGGGAAACACAAAAGGCAGCGCTGATGCTCCCCATCCAGTCCTGGCTCTGCTCTGCAGGACTGCAGGCAGAGAGCTCCCCACCCAGCCCAGGGGCTGAGAGGCCTCAGATGGGCAGGAACTTCTGTCCCTAGAGAAGAGGGAATCCCAGCCACCATCCCTCCCTGGAGCCCCCATACATAGATGCGGCCGAGGTGAAACCTCTTCTTGAGGCACAACAACACCGAGCTGTCACACACCAGCCTGTGGGGCAAGAAGGGTGGGGGTGAGTAGCTGGGGGATGAAGTTGTACTGGGCTGACTGTCACTGGCTGCAAGGACACCTGGGGCAGAGCATCCAACCTCTAGGAGCTTTAATCATGTAACAGGGCACATGCCTGAATCCTAACGCTCTGGGAGACAGGAGGCTCACAAGTTTGCACTCAGCGTGGGCAATTAGTGACTTAGAGAGACCCTGTCTTCAAAAGTAAAAAGTAAAAAGGGCCATGAGTGTAGCTCAGAGGACCTTTTGCCAATGAGAAAAGATATCCCCAGAGGGATACCCGACTTTTTTTTTTCCCTCACCTGCTTCTCCAGCCAAAAGATTTTTTTTTTTTTTTTTTTTCGGAACCAGGGATTGAACTCAGGGCCTTGCACTTGCCAGGGAAGAGCTTATTCCACTGAGCCATCTCCCTGGCCCCAAAAAATCTTTTGTGGGGAAAAATCTTCTAAGGACAAACAGCATTAATACATTTATAAAGATGAGGGTGAGGCAGGACATGAGGAACTGGGAGCAGCCACTCACCGCAGCCGGGCCAGGTCCTCAGTGTCCTCTAGGCCTTCTCCTAGGCCCTTGTCCTCCTCCCCAGCTCCCAGGAAGGGCAGCGCATCCAGGTCAGGCCCAAGGCTCCGCTCCAGCTCCCTCTCCAGTGCTGCCTCGGTCTCATCCTCAGGCTCCCACCGCCCTCTGGGGGACCCGCTGGAGCTTCTCTGGCGCTGCAGGCGGGTCTCCAGGGTCAGTCGGGGCAGCAGCGTCTCAGTGCCTGACCCAGGGTCCTCACAGGGCCCTGGACCCAGCGCCCAGTGTCCGGGGGTCGCGGACTCCGAGGTCTCCTGCTCAGCTTCACTGCTGGAGCCGTTCTCTAATAGGGTTTCGTTGGGTGGGGTCAAGGAGCCCAAAGAGGCGCGGCGGGACCGGATGGCCCCCTCCCCACTCGCCCTGCCTCCCTCAGTGTCCCCCCCAGCCCCTGCACGAGGCCACACACGGCCTTCCACGCTGGGGGCGTCCGAGGATGCTTCTCCTGAGCTCCCGCTGCTCGACGCCCTGCCTGCCCTGTGGATCCTGGGGAACACGACCGCGAACTTGGGATCTGAAGTCGGGTCCTTGTTCTCTGCAGGGTCGTCGGGCTCCGGGATGTCGCGGGACTGCGGAGAGCACGAGCCACCGCGGGAGGGCGCCCTTAACCGCTCCCCAAACCGGGCTGAGACTGCCAGGCGCAGTGCCAGACGGCGCCACAAACCACCCGGGCTGCGTCCTCCCTCCTCCTCCCTCCCCGGGCCCCGCTCCGCGCCCCAAGGCTGCTGCTGCCGGCGCCGCAGCCAGCGCAGGAGACCCAGGGCTTGCACCACACGAAGGAGCCGCACCTTGAGCCCTGCGCGGCTGGAACGCGCGGCCTGGGAAGAGGGGCCTGACTCGGGTCTGGCGCGGACGCTGCGGAGCACCACGAGGGCGGCCAGCGGCGCCGGGTCCCCCGGCTCTGCGTCCCCCGGCCCTTCTCCCTTCCCGATCCCCGCCCGGCCCCCGTCAGCCCTCGCCCCCACCACCTTTCCGACGTGCGGGTGCTGGACGCCGGCAGGCGCGGCTTCCGCCTTTTCAGCCCCAATTATTGGCTGCGACCCCGAATCGAGGGCTCGGGAGGCCGCGTCTTTCCCTAGCAGCGCCGCCTCGTGGGCGCCGGGGACCGGGCTGCGGCTGTCCTCGGTGGCGCCCCGGCCCGCGAGCGTCCCGGAGCCGGAATCCGCGCTCGCCCCCTCAGTCCCGGTCCCCGACTCCCCGGCGGGGGCCTCGACTTTGCGCCGGCGCTCACCGCGCTCAGGGCCCGGCTCCGGCCCGGCTGTGGTCCCTTCCGAGTCCGAGCATCCCGGCTGCGACGCCGCGCGGGCTTCGCTGTCCGGGCACGAGCTGCCGGCGTCGGCGCCGGAGGAGTCCTCGCCGCGAGCCTTGGGAGCCGGCGCGCTCCGCCTGTGTGCTCTTCTCCGGCGGCGCCCGCGCCCGCCCGTGCGGCTGCCCTCCCGGGCGGCTCTGTCCCCTTCCGCCTTCTCCGACCCCGACGCCTCCTCCCCGGGCGCGCATCCCTTCGTGGGCCGGGGTCCCCGACGCCCCGCGCTGTCTCGCCTTTCCAGGGCCTGTGGTGGCCGCCCAGCTCCAGACCTGCGGCCTCCGAAACCCTCGGGGATGGGCTCCCCGCGGCCACTCGCTGTCCCCTTGTCCCCGTCGGTGTCTGGTTCCGTGACAGGTGTCTCCTGGCGGGCTTTTCGCGGGCCAGGCCTGCGGTCCCCGGACCCACACTCCTGCTCAGCGGAGCTGGGCCTCCCGGATCTTGCCCTGCGCTGCCGGGGCTCCTTGTCCTTGCTCCCCCCCATGACGGACCCAGAGAGCAGGGGCTCTGACGCCCTGTGCTTTTCCCTTCCAGGGAAGCTGACTGCCCTGTGCCCGCGCTGCGCAACACTGTTCTCTGGGGGTGCTGCGGACTCAGCTGACACCCCGCTCCCCCCTTAGGCGTGAACATTAATAATGCAGGAAGCTGCGGGTCCTGACCCCCGCGGCCAACAAAGAAACCAGGGCGACCTGGGAAAGAAGAGACGCTGCAGCTGCGGACAAAGGGCTGGACAGGGCGGCCAGGCTGGACTGGGTGCCAGCCAGGACACCTGGCACCCTGCCAGACTGGGGAACCTCACCAGGAGTGAGAGTTGGATTAGTGAACCTGTTTGTGTCCCCTCTTCCCCCGGGGCTCCCTGAGTTTTGTGGGTCTTTTCTTTTCCATTGTGAAACGTAGTTTACCTGAAGAGCACACTGTACGTCGGTGTAAGTGGACTTGGTGTCAAGAAGACATGTATACTTTTTTTTTTTTTTTTTTTTTTTTGGTGGAACCAGGGATTGAACTCAGGCCCTTGCGCTTACCAGGGAAGCGTTTATTCTACTGAGCCATCTCCCCAGCCCCCCCTCTGTATACTTTTGAAGTCATGGAATATAAATAGACTGAGTAAACCTCCGTTTTAAATATAGTTATCATTATTATTATTATTATTATTATTATTATTATTATTATTATTTTGATACCAAGCCAGGCTCCCTACCAAGAAGCTATATCCCCAGCCCCATTACTGCATTTGAACTGTTAATACAGTCACAAAGATAAAATCCTGTTCTTGGCTGAATGGCTGCCCTCTGCCATGTGCCACTCTACGTTGGAGCCAGCCAAGTATGGACTGAAACTCCACAAATTGTCAGCTAAATAAAGCCTTGCTTCCTTAATTTGGGGTGTCATGTATTTTATCCCAGCAAGGAGAGAAAAGTAACTGATACACTGACCCTCAGCTATTCAGTTTCCTGCTGAAGGAACCTATTTCGGTAGTTCCTTCCAGAACTATCCAGAGAAAAGTGACTTATTTATTTTTCCCTTTAGTGCAAGTGGAAGCTTATCTAGCTTGTGGGTCTTCAATGCCTTCTTGACTGAACAGTTTATTTTTTTTAAAGACTTTTTTCTTGGGGCTGGAGAGATGGCTCAGTGGTCTAAAGCACCTACTTGAAACAAGCTTGGCAAAGCACAGGGACCGCGGTTCGATCCCCCAGCACCA